AAAATATATATATATATATATATATATATATATATATATATATATATATATATATATATAAAAATGCATATGCATGCTTCCAAAACAGTGCGAGATTTTTTTTTCCTGAAAATGCAAGTATAAATCTCCTTGTACCAACATGCACAAAAATATTTTGATCGAGGAAATAGTTTCCAAGACAGTTGGATACTGCTTTATATTTAGCAAGGAAAATATAAAACATGAATAATTTTACCTCTTAAAAACCACAAAAAGCTATTAATAATTTCACTTTAAACTTCCTACACGTATATGTTATGAGCTATCAGACCCGAAAAAGAAGATTAAAAAGTCCAATTGACATACATGTTGTTCCTGCTACAGGCTTGTCCTTCCCCTCTAAAAGTTCCCATAAGTGCAGTGATGCTTCTTGATACTGGTCAGTTAACCTGTGTGAGATAAAAGCATCCCATTATGAATATACAAATCAAAAAGATAAGTAAACTAAATTTTTTATTTAACCAAACATACTACATATTATATAATATTATTAAAATATTAATTTCACCCAATCTGCACTCAATCCATATGGATCTCTTTTAGAACGTCTATGAATTTCTTCAGGCATCAAACTTTTGGAAAAATTTACTTTCAATGGAAGGACATAAACCTCTCCCGTTTCATTATTCATTTGTGTTTCAAAGATAAACTCAAATCCTTTGCGTTTAAAACTGTTAGGTTGAGCAATTGACCATTTTTATTTCAAGTGAAGTAACCCTTTAAACTCTTCCTGGATGCACACAGTCAAATTGACAAATAATTATAAGTACAGTTACAAAGAAGCAGTCAAACTTAACATGCTCTGCCAATGCCGAGACCTCAAGCTGTCTGAAATGTATTCTCCGAGAGATCCAAATGTAACAAACTCTTAATTCAGAGCGTTACAGCTGGAAGAACATAAATTCTTCTGTTTGTTTACAGTATAGTTTTCATTTGCAAGCAATTTCGAAATGGAGAAAAGTAGTGTGGATTGGGATGACAGTCAACTTCACCTGATGTTTTGGTCACGTTCAGGCCCCACAAGCTTGTAAAACTCATCCAGGGAATTAAGGTCGCTTTCGGTAAGCAGCGAAGGTCCTCCAGCTCCTTGAAGTAGCTCTTGCCGCACACTTTCATCCCCAAGTCGGTCCAGAAGAAACTGCAGCTCCAGAACCAGTTTCAGCCTTTTCTGTTCCACCTCTTCACGCTGGAGTTGCTCACGACGTGCTGCTTTCTTAACACTCTTCTGGATCTACCCAAAGCAATAGATGCGGGAGACATTCTCACTTATGTATAAACCTTCCAGTGAATTTCAGTAGTAGATCTACACACACATTCACAAAAAAATAAACTGTAGGTCCTCAGGCTATGGAAGAGAGTAAATTAAATTGTCATGGACTCACTTCTTGACCCAACGCCAAAAAGCTCTTGTGCAGTTCTCGTCCAAACTCAAGGTTATGGATTACCTCCTGGTACTTAGACAGGGCTTCCTGGATTGATTTAGAAAAAGGACAGATTTCAGGAATCTGAAACAATTAACAAGTAACAAAAAAATATGGAGTTTACACGCACCAGCTGGTCCTGGTTGAGACGTTCCCCTTTGATGTTTCTGGCCTGATAGTCATCAAGCTTGCTCTGCAAGACGACAAGTGACAAAAAAATAGAAATAAATTAGAAAAATAAACAAGCGATATAATAAAACGACAGTACAATGTAGAAGTCCTCTCACAGGTGTATGCACTAATTTCCCCATCTCAAACTCCAGCTGAATTGGTCATCACAAGAACAAATGATAGAGATAAAGCATACGATCAGGCCATTCAAAACAAACGTTCAAATTGTATGCAAGAATACAAATGAGCATGCATATATCTTTAAAGATTCTGGGGTCAGAAAGGTTATGTTTTTGAAAAAAGTCAGCCTTTAGCATCACATGATCCTTCAGAAACAATTGTAAAATCAATATTTTTGGGGAAAACGGTTATAAACTCTCCATGATTCTATTAATAAAATTTTTAATGTAATTTATTTCTTGTAACATTAACCATGTTTTTCAATGTCACCGTTTTATGCATCCTTGACTGAACTGAAAGACAAAAACCTTTGAAGAACATTGCACATAATATTTGCAATTATGAAACTAATTTCCCCATTCAAAGTGGATCAAGAGTGAGGACTTTGTTCCAGAAAGCTCCAGCATGTGGTTGAGTTATGTGGAGATTATCCCATTTCACAAGTTGGTGAGAGATGGGGCAAGTTCACTTTCCACAAACGTATAATGTTGAAATCAAACAAAAATCATGTCATTCTGCTTAAGGGTGCTTTCACACCTGGCCTGCTGTTTCGGAACCTGGCGTGTTCCCCCCCTCAGCTCGGCTTGTTTGGGCATATGTGAACACGTACACGTCTGTGGGTGAGCTCCTCTTCGCCACTCAAAATAAAAAAGCACACTTTTTCATTTTATAATGCCGTCTTATTGCTCTTCTTCCTAGTATGTGCATTTTAAAAGTGTTTTCCTGATGATTCCTGGACTCCTGCTCAAAATTATAAATTAATAGACGGACAGCTACAAAAAAAAAAAAAAAGCTGTTGTCGTTCCATCCTGACGGATGACAGCTAAGTGGAATCCCGGAAAATCAGCTTTGACCAATGAGACAACAGTTTGTACAATACAGTACACGCGCGTGACTTGTATTAACAAATTTGGTCCGTTTAGAAACTTTGCCACACCAAGAATAAAAAAGCAACATAACCCTAATCCACTTTTGTGTTAAACGGGTTTGAAACAACATGGGAGTCAATGGCAATTTTATTTCATTTCCCCCTCCCCAGTGAATTATCCCATTAACGAAATATATCCCTTAATTGTCGACACAATTTTCGACACCATTAAGTCAATAAATAAACCAATTTAAAAGCAATGTGCTGCACTGTCACCAAGTTAAAAGTCTCTCCTGCGGAGCCAAGGCGCTTATGTGTCCTGAGGACCGGCCTCTGACACATTTACCTCGGCAAGACAAGCCCGAGACAATCCAAAACATTAACAACTCATTTAAAAGCATTAACAGTTTCCCCGTTTTTAGCATGCTGGTCCTGTTTTAGGACGCCATCTTAGCTTTATCTCCATGTGCGCGCGGAACAAACAGTGGTCGTAGAAACTGACAAAAATGTCAAGAAATAACTTCGCGTAATATCGCGGATTATACAGAGAACGCAAACAAGTAACTATGTAATACATTTGTCAAGAGAAATGGAATAACGTCCAAAGTTGACCGGCTAGCATGTGCTAAAACTACAAACGCTAGCCGGTTAGCATTTGTATTTGACGATTAAACCCATTTATTGTCCGTTTAGCAATAAGTCACACCATTGAGATCCTAGGATGATGCGCGTTTACTTACGCAGTCAAAAGAAATGTATATAAACTTCATCAGGTTGTGTGAAATAAATAACGGAGTACAAAAGGCACGGGTGATGTGGGTTATGGTAATGAACTGAGGACGCGGGACAACAAAACCCAGTAAGTTACCTTTTTCTTCTCCATATTGCGCACTTTCTTTTCAAGAACCACCAGCACCTGCTTCAGGGCCTCTGACTGGGTTCCAGTCAGCTGGATGCTGGCTGTGATTTGGTTCATTGATCCGGGAGCAGATCCCAAGTCTGGGCTGGCAGACTTCACAGTCCTGGTGCCATTTGTTGCCGAGGGCATCTAATTAAGGATAAAGGTGAAGTTTTAATATCAGAATAAAATACTAAAATGCTGAAAACAGCATTTGTACATGATGCAAGTTGCTGTGATTGATTATGGTTTCATTTTCGATCACATCTCATCCACTTACTCTTTCAATCAGGTCGAGCAAATCTTTCAGTTATGATGCCAAGTTATTAATCATACATGTTCAAATAATAAGGTAATCATAACTGTTATATAACGAAAATTATGCAGACGAGATTTTGTCTGATAGTAGCACATTTGGACGCGACAGGGACGTATTATGAATAAAATCCTATTCACGGCTATATTTTTTTAATATTTCAAACTCTAAAAAAAATTATAAAGATATTTCACAAACGCTAGAAGTAGACTGCAAAATTCCAAAACACTGTCATAGCAACCCATTGTCCGCATACTGTGTCCAAATCATCACAAGATCCAGACTATATAACGTTCACGTCTGTAACTTGGATTCAAATATGTGCTCACCTTTATGCGCAATATGTCCACAAGGAAGAAAAATTAATCGTCTGAAGGCAAATAAGCCGAAGCGTTGATTGTGTTGCTTTTATTTTCTCTTCTAATTTACTATGGGATCCGCCCCGCCGGCCTCACCGACAACTGAGAGCGAGTGAGAGGCGAGGAAAAGGTTTATAATGAGGAAGGGCCCCGTTTAGAGGCGTCCAGGGTTATGCCTGTGCCTCACTGACATTTATATGGATGTTATTATAACGTTTACTTCTTGTCCGATGAACATACAACTAAAAAGTAAAGATAATTTATGAAACGCATAGGAGAGAGTCACGAAGATGGCAGAAAATACTAAGATTTTAGTCAGTTGCAAAGCAGGCATACAATGACTCCCTCATTTGGATTGGTCACTGAGCGCGTGCGAAACGAACAGGCTGCCTTTATATAGACATGCAGATAAAGGAAAATGAACAGAGGATTAAAATGTTCGATTTAGTATTTTGTTTTGGGACTGTGTTTTATTTTATTTCGCTGATAAGGCTTTCTTTCTTTTTTCAATATCATGCCAAATGTCGATTATATCATGCTCAACTACCCCTTTCCCGATTCGACCATTCTTAACTTTTTTATTATTATTATTGTTTATTTTTCTGCTAAAATATAAGGTTTTAAACGACGAAACAAGTCCTTACAACGTTACATCGTTATTTAATGTAAATCAAACTGTGGTCCAGCAGATGGCACCAGATAGATGGAAGTGAATGTTTGCTGTCAACTCGAACTTTCTTTCCAAAAAATCCCCTGCAAAAATAAAATATGTACAAGCAAAAATGAATAAGTACATGCAATAAATGATTACAAAAATTGCTCATTAATATTTAATCATTCACATTTTCTAATTTATTTGTATTAGGTTGACAACATTATGTAATAGCATTTTAAGGCTATTTATTTGTGCAAAATAAATTATATTCTCCTATTGCATATGTGTATCTTTTCAAGCTTATGAAGCATTTATCCCCCTTACAAGAGGTATTTATATTGCAAAAGTATTTGCAATATAAAAGTAAAGCTTGTTTTTGCTTTCTTCTTTCTGTAAAACACAAACTATTCAAAAACCATGTGAATGCAGTTGTATGAGGTTTTGTTTGGCATATACAGGAAGCAGTTAACATGGTTGCTCTGTTCTTTGATAGCACTGTTCTATTGAAAGGGTGTTTTCTTTCAGGAACAATACTGATTAGAGGAAGATCTCATGGGAGAGTGAAGCTCTCTTTCAACAAGTGACTCATTTCCGCTCTCTGTTGTGTTTAGAAACAGCAGCAGCAGTCCTCAACTTAAACATTTAAAGTCCATTGATACATCTATCAATGTCACAAACAGGTGTCTACTTTGATCACTGATCATCTGAAGTTTACAATCATCAAATCACAAACTTGTAGTCACAAAAATGTTTTTACTTAGTCCAAATAATGGTGTTCGCACATGCTTCTCAAAATTGAACCAACAATAGTTAAAGCTGAGATTAGGCAGGAAGCTATTGCTGTTTCAGAGTATATGCTATCAGAGTCTCAACAACACATCCAGACGCTCTCCTTACAGGAAATACGCCTTACTGTGATTACTCAGTCAGCCTGTGATGGAACTCTTCTCCAGTATGCTAAAGGCAGCCTGGGCCGTAATTCAAACAGAGCATGTCAAACACATCCAGTAAGAGGATGTGTTTCAGTTTTTTGTTATTGAGACAAGACATGTTCCATGGCAAATGATCAGTCAATCCAATGGCATTTCCTATTAGGGCTGGGCTTTCAATAAATCATAGCCTACTCTTGCAGAGCCAAAATAATAAGAGAATGATCTCCCTTATTCAGAGTATTCAGATTTCTGGTTAAATCTGTATGCAGTTTCAATTGCTGATTTCTAAATCCTAAACATGTAGGCTATTTTATGCAACAACCATTTACTGTAAACTTTTGCTTTCATTCTGATATGAATGTTACAGTTAAGCTGTTGACAGTAAACATTGACTTCCATAGTATTTTCCCCCCATACTATGGAAGTCATTGGCTATACTGTCAACTGTTTGGTTACTAACATTCTTTAAAATATCGGTTCAACTTTGTGTTTAATGCCTTATAAAAGTAGTTATAATGCATTAATTATTCCTTGTAATGCACCTTATAATGTATTGTACAATCTCATGAATAATTGTAACCACAGTTAATACATTATAACATTTATCAATTAATTATTATGCATTTTAAATTCGGTTATAATTATTTCCGACATGATATAATGTATTACAACGCACATTTTAGAATTATAATGCATTATATCCTTTAATAGCCCTGTATAATGTGCTATACATAAAGACTTTAAGTACAGTGTTACCTAAATATCTTCTTTTGTGCTCAGCAGAAGAAAGAAACACACACAGGTTTGGAACAACATGAGGGTGAGTAAATGGTGACAGAATTAGCTTTTTTGGTGAACTATCCCTTTTATGGCCTTTATTAGCCATTTTTGACCTTTGACCTTTATCCATGTAAGTTCAACCATTAATCAAGCAACAAGTGTAAAGTAAAACATGTTTTATGAGTTGTTCCTTGTTAAAATGCTGAGTAAATGAATTTTTTGCTGAAATCCATTCTGAATTATAATGCATTATATCCTTTAATAGCCCTGTATAATGTGCTATACATAAAGACTTTAAGTACAGTGTTACCTAAATATCTTCTTTTGTGCTCAGCAGAAGAAAGAAACACACACAGGTTTGGAACAACATGAGGGTGAGTAAATGGTGACAGAATTAGCTTTTTTGGTGAACTATCCCTTTTATGGCCTTTATTAGCCATTTTTGACCTTTGACCTTTATCCATGTAACGTTCAACCATTAATCAAGCAACAAGTGTAAAGTAAAACATGTTTTATGAGTTGTTCCTTGTTAAAATGCTGAGTAAATGAATTTTTTGCTGAAATCCATTCCTTAGACAACGAATATATTTATTTTGCACAATATTTTGTCTTGCTGTGGCTCTCAGATTTTCATTGAATGTTTTTTTTTCTTTTTTCTTTTTTTGCACATATGAAATATTGCATACATGAAACACAGCATTTTTAGAAAATACTTAATACCGAGATACAGAGATGTCGCAAGCCATGTTGATCTGTTTACTGCATCCCTAACCATTTATGAAGGAAACCCACCCCAAGTTGAGAAAGCTTTTCCTGCCAAGTAGATGAGTTGACAGTCAGTGGTTTCCGAGGCACTGTCTCAAAAGCCCTTCTCCTATCAAGGGGGGCCATCTGGAGTTATCCAACCAATCAGAGTCCAGCAGAGTGATCAAGTGAAACGAGTAGGAAGTCAGCATGGCTCATACCACCCCCTGCCAAGGTTCATCTGTGCTCATTTCCTGTACATCCTCGGGGTTTGCTGTGTCCAATCCACAGGAAACGGTGGACGCCTTATGCACACAGTTTAACAGCTATTAAAAAACAAACTGTCGAAGCAAACAAGTAAATGTTTTAGTTATGTTATCATTTGCATTCTTGGAAAATCAGTTTTGTTAAAGATTGTGCATTATAACTGTATACGTATATAAATAAGAACACACACACACACACACACATACTTAAGATTTTTGAATGTTTTTGAAAAAAGTCTCTTGTGCTCACCAAGGCTGTGAAATAAAATTTGTGAAATATTACTACAATTTAAAAGAACTGTGTTTTTTGCCGTGATGGCAACGCTGAATTTTCAGTGTCTTCAGTGCCACATCCTCAAGAAATCATTCTAATTCCTATTTTGTTTCTCAGTTATCAATTATTATTGGTGTTCAAATATGAATAATGGTTCTTAATATTATCAATGTTGAAAACAATTTTTGCTGCTTAATATTTTTGTGGAAACTGTGATCCATAATTTTTTTTAAATTTGGGATTCTTTGATGAATAGAAAGTTTAACGAAGAGCATTTATTTGGAACAGAAACCTTTTGTAACATTATAAATGTCTTAACTGTCACATTTGACCAATTTGATGCATCTTCGCTAAATAAAATAAATATTGTTTTATTCTTCCTGCCATTTATTAAAAATATTTTGAATAGTTGTGTATCATGGTTTTTGCAAAAATAGTAATATTTATATGGGATTTTATACATTTTGCTAATTAAATGTAATAAAAAAAAACATTAAATATAATAAAAATGATCCCTACTCTCAACTGAACTTTACATTTGATGAAATGTAGTTTTTTTAGTTATAAGTCAGAATAGTACAATTATAGCTGAAGGGCGATCATTGACCTCACAGGGTTAGGGCCAGATTGGCACAGCCAACATTTGGCTGAGATGCTGCCACTGAAGACCCTTGAGCATTGATGATGTTTGGGAACCATTCAGTGTCCCAGCAGTGTTGTGCAGAGTGTTTTATCTCCTGGCCCAGTACTGCTGCTGACACTACCCGAGCTACTCTGGCAGGAGATAAGAGGAGTTTTCCCCAACGACATCAAGCAGAGATGAGTGTGAGGAGATAGATCAGGAGAAATGGTTCAAAAAAGCCATTTGCTGTGTTTGTTAGCTGCATTGAAATTACAGATGAATGTGTTTTCATATGATTATGCCTTTAACAATACATAAACATTGTGAATTAGGGCAGTGTTTTTTGATCTTCTAGATGCCACGGCCCCCCATAGATAATTATCCTCATACGAGGGACCCCCATCATAAAATTTAAAAGAATTTAATTTTAATTTTTTTTGTATGAAGGTCCAATTTAGACTGTAAAAAGTAAATATTATAAATATGTGTTCAATTTTGTTTGGAAAATATTAAATATTAAAATATAGGTTACATTACTGAGTTTTACTGATAGCATAAGTTTTTTGTTTTAGTCTAATTTTGTATTTATTATATTTTATAATTCATAATCTATTTTGTTATTATTGATTCCATCCATTTATTCATAACACATTGTTATATTCAACTATTGATTTTATCTGTATAAAATGTTTATATTAATCACATTTAATTTGTTTGTTTTAATTACATTTTTTATTGTTTATATATATTTTTTTCACATTTTTTTAACAGTTGTTCTCTAAACATTTCCATAGACCCCCAGCACTCTCTTGTGGCCCCCAGTTATAAATGTCTTAACTGTCACATTTGACCAATTTGATGCATCTTCGCTAAATAAAATAAATATTGTTTTATTCTTCCTGCCATTTATTAAAAATATTTTGAATAGTTGTGTATCATGGTTTTTGCAAAAATAGTAATATTTATATGGGATTTTATACATTTTGCTAATTAAATGAAATAAAAAAAAACATTAAATATAATAAAAATGATCCCTACTCTCAACTGAACTTTACATTTGATGAAATGTAGTTTTTTTAGTTATAAGTCAGAATAGTACAATTATAGCTGAAGGGCGATCATTGACCTCACAGGGTTAGGGCCAGATTGGCACAGCCAACATTTGGCTGAGATGCTGCCACTGAAGACCCTTGAGCATTGATGATGTTTGGGAACCATTCAGTGTCCCAGCAGTGTTGTGCAGAGTGTTTTATCTCCTGGCCCAGTACTGCTGCTGACACTACCCGAGCTACTCTGGCAGGAGATAAGAGGAGTTTTCCCCAACGACATCAAGCAGAGATGAGTGTGAGGAGATAGATCAGGAGAAATGGTTCAAAAAAGCCATTTGCTGTGTTTGTTAGCTGCATTGAAATTACAGATGAATGTGTTTTCATATGATTATGCCTTTAACAATACATAAACATTGTGAATTAGGGCAGTGTTTTTTGATCTTCTAGATGCCACGGCCCCCCATAGATAATTATCCTCATACGAGGGACCCCCATCATAAAATTTAAAAGAATTTAATTTTAATTTTTTTTGTATGAAGGTCCAATTTAGACTGTAAAAAGTAAATATTATAAATATGTGTTCAATTTTGTTTGGAAAATATTAAATATTAAAATATAGGTTACATTACTGAGTTTTACTGATAGCATAAGTTTTTTGTTTTAGTCTAATTTTGTATTTATTATATTTTATAATTCATAATCTATTTTGTTATTATTGATTCCATCCATTTATTCATAACACATTGTTATATTCAACTATTTTATCTGTATAAAATGTTTATATTAATCACATTTAATTTGTTTGTTTTAATTACATTTTTTATTGTTTATATATATTTTTTTCACATTTTTTTTAACAGTTGTTCTCTAAACATTTCCATAGACCCCCAGCACTCTCTTGTGGCCCCCAGTTTGAAACCCCTGTAGGGTATTTTTGAAAGGCAGTTGTTGTAGGGGCTCATACTCAGAATCTTTTGAAGGTTTACATCACTATAGGACAAAAACATGTGTTTAACAGTTAAATTAAATTGAATCAAATATATAAAATAAATTATAGAATTTATTATAAAAATTAGAATACTACTTAGTTTATCTGACTTAAATAATTACTGACGGGCTGCAACCCTTCCAAGGAGCCCAGGTCCCCTTACAATGTTGCAGCTGTGTCCTTGACCTGGGATTTTCCCTGTGTTTTCATAAACATGAACGCATTAATTATATGTGTTTGCAGCTTTTCCCTCACTCTCGTTCGTGTTTGGATGACAGGTATTTGATAAGGAGCCTGTCTGTTTGAGCTCGTGACCCCTCCAGTCACGAGCCGACGGCTTTATAATTGACTAGCGGCATGCAGGAGCGCTATTTCCTCGCATTGTCGAGCGGTCGTGAGCAGGAAGTCGGAAAAGAAAGCAGAAACTGAGGGGGCTGGGCCATTTAAAAATACCTGCTACCCTACAATAACGGGACCACAGACAGTAGCCCTACGGGACAGTGCTGTGGAGACTCGCAGCACAGAGGAGAAACCACGCTTGACGCAAACGCAGTTGCGCTGGAGTAAATAAACAACGCGGCGGGGGGACATCTACATCTACCTGTCACCACGTATTAGGCTACTCAGAAACCCATAGGATTGAATGCGTGGAGACAGAAATCTAATGCAAAGAAGCTACGTTGGATGCACTTGGGATTTAGCGTAGGCTACATAATGTGTGCTATAGGTTGTAGATCTTTAGCGCAATAAGAAGGCAGCAAAGCAGGTGCATCTCTGAAGGCAGCTCATTGAGCAGGACGTTGATGGGCTTTCTTTCACTGGAAGTGCGCATATCAAATGTACTACTGAATTATTTCCGAACAATATTTAATATGGCATCTACAATTGAACGGAAAACACTGGAAACGAATGAGTAAGTAAGACATATTGTTTGGGTTTCCATTTGTTTATTGTTGTTGTTTGTAGCCTATAGACAAGTGGGCTACAACCAAAATAGTGCAATAGCCTATATTATGTAGCCTATTGGTTATAACAGTGTTTGCGCTTAGTTTAAAAATGTAAGTCACAGCACAATTTTGCCAATATTAGTGATCAGGCGATTATACATTTGTAATAGCCTAATTACATTTGGACTAATTTAAAGTCGCATTAAAGTATGTTTCACGAGTTAAGCGCGTGAAGATAGGCTTACTCTACGCATTAATAATCCAATGAAACGCTACATTAAAAAAGAAAAGAAAAAAGAAAAGAAAAAATAAATTAAAAAAAAATTATCAAGTTATGTTTCATTCCTAGCTCCACAGTTGTAGCTGGTAGCATATAGGAAACATTTTAGGGAAAACTTGGTAAGACTTGGCACACTTGGTAAGATTAGTTGCAATAAAATAACATAATTTGCATAATATTTTTTATTGGGGGTAAAGGAATGATATTCCAAGGAAATTAGTTTTATTAGAAAGGGGACACTGACATGTATTTTATGATGATTTAAATGACTAATAATCTTAATAGTAGGCCACATTCATTATAGACCCTTTAAATATTATATGTACCAAATATGGCAATTCTATTTGTATCGTGAGATGTTTTACATGCTTCCTTTAATGAAGTTTTGACACTACAGATTATTCAGAGTGGATTAAACAGCTCTAGTCATGTGACTATGAAACAAATGTGACTTTTTACATGAAATCAAAACAGTCTGCACTTTTGCTTATAGCTAACAATGCTGTAAAAAAATTAAAAATTAAAAAATTGGTCACATATGTTAACCAGTGCGAATAAATAGGCTAATTTAAGTTTGTGTGCACTGTGCAGTGACCCAAAGCGCCTCATTTGCCTACTGCACTTAACACTATTCTCCCTTGGGATCTGGCAGTAGTTACATCTTAAGCAGATATTTATTTATAAATCAAATGTAGGTACATCTAGAAAAAAAGTAGCGCATCTGATTGCCAATTTTATCCGTATGGAACACACATAACCTTAACATACCATAAGTCTTATGCTAGTGTTTTAAATAAAATACGCACTAGTGCCATCTGGTGTTCATAACTGCGTATCGCATGTTTGAGTGTAAACGCTAATCCACAGGGAGCCCGTCGATGAGGTGCTTCAGATGCCGCCGTCGCTGCTGACCTGTGGCGGCTGTCAGCAGAGCATCGGGGACCGCTTCTTCCTCAAGGCCATAGAGCAGTACTGGCACGAGGACTGCCTGAGCTGTGACCTCTGCGGCTGCCGCTTAGGGGAGGTGGGCCGCAGGCT